AATCGCTGGATTTGACAGAATTCTTAAGATTCCTATGGTTTTCCTATGATTTCAGCAAGAGAGCCCGGGCGGGAAATTTGTACAATTTTTGTGAAAAACATTGGGTTTTTTTATGTTTTTATGTTGAAATGCTTGCAAACACACTGTGTTCGGTAGGATTCTGACATGAACGCGCGCGTGTGCTCTTTGTGGTATTTTTTGCAATGGATTATCGCCGTGGACGACAGGACGTCCATGTCGAGAGGAAAAAATAAGAAAAATGTTGATTTTATATTGTTTTTTACAGGTTAGGATGGGACCCCCCGGATGCGGCCCCTAATGGCCGGCCTGACGGGGGAGTAGGAGTATATTCTAATAAGGAATAAGGATAAGAGTAAGAGTAAGAGTAAGAGTGATAGTGATAGTGATAGTGATAGTAATAGTAATAGTAATAGTAATAGTAATAGTAATAGTAATAGTAATAGTAATAGTAATAGTAATAGTAATAGTAATAGTAATAGTAATAGTAATAGTAATATGCATAGTAATAGTAATAGTAATAGTAATAGTAATATTGATCATAATAATACTACTACTAATAATAATATTAATAATAATAAGATTATTCATGATGATGATGATGATGATGACAATGATAATAATACTAATACGAGTAATAATGATCATACGAATACGAATATTAATAATGAAATACTAATAATAATAGTACTACTAATACTACTAATACCACTAATAATACTACTAATAATACGGAGCAGAAGACTTAGAATAATAATAAGAAGACGAAGAAGAATAGCAATACAAATACAACTAATAATAATCATAATGCCAGTAAGAAGAAGAATACTACTAATAATAAGAATAAAAAGAATAATAATAATGAGAATAAGAAAAAGAATACGAGTACTGATCAGCATAAGAAGAATAATAACAAGACTACTAAGACTAATAATAATAACGATGATAATAATAATAATGATGATGATACTAAGACTAATAAGCACACTAACATAAGAGGAAGAGAGGAGGAGGAGGAGGAGGAGGAGGAGGAGGAGGAGGAGGAGGAGGAGGAGGAGGAGGAGGGGAGGAGGAGGAGGAGGAGGAGGAGGTGGAGGAGGAGGAGGAGGACGACGAGGAGGTCGAGGAGGACGAGGAGGAGGAGGAGGAGGAGGAGGGGGGAAGGAGGAGGAGGAGGAGGAGGAGGACGAGGACGAGGAGGAGGAGGAGGAGGAGGAGGAGGAGGAGGAGGAGGAGGAGGAGGCGGGGGGAGGTCGGGAGGCAGAGGAGGAGGAGGAGGAGGAGGAGGAGGAGGAGGAGGAGGAGGGGGAGGAAGAAGAGGAGGAGGAGGAGGAGGAGGAGGAGGAGGTGCCAGATTTTCGGACATCTTCGTCGATTCCCCGTGGTTGTTGGGGCTCCTCGCGGATTTCCTGGACCGATGCTGGGCCCTCCTTGGCGAGCTCCGCTTGCCAGGGAGGGCGGGTTCGGTGCAGCTCCCAGAGATCCGCGCGGAGCTCCAAAGGTTCATGTCTATGCCGTTCTCTGCCCCCAAAATGAGGGAAAGGTTTTCGGGCATCTTCGTCGGTACCCCGCGGTTTTCTCGTGATTTTCCAAGCTCGGGATGCTTGCTAGCAGCTGCGCCTCGCCGAGAGCGATTGCCCCGAAATGCCGAGGGAGAACCGAACTATGGCCCGGAAATCAAGAGGCAGCGTTAGCGGGGGAGTAGGCTCAGAGGGGGTAGGCATCGACCCTCAATCGCCCATTCATCGCCGATGTGGAGCCCGATGGCCCCCGGACGGGGCCCGATGGATGCCGCCCCCCTGACATTTTGGCACACCCCTCACGCGCTCCGTGGCCACATGGGGAGCCCCACCGAAGGCCCCAGTAGCGGCGTTCGCATGCCGTCCCCTCTCCACTTTGGCACACCCCCGCATGCGTCTCCCCCACCCAGTGCACCGCTTAGTGGCCCCATAGGGAGCTCCATCGAAGGCCCCAGTGCACAACGCTTCGTAGCCCCATAGAGAGCTCAGTGGCGGTGTTCGCATGCGTCTCCCCCACCCTGTACAGCGTTTCATGGCCCCATAGGAAGCTCCACCGGAAGGCCCCGGTCGCGGTGTTCGCATGCGTCTCCCCCACTCAGTACAGCGTTTCGTGGTCCCATAGGGAGCTCCACCGAAGGCCCCAGTGGCGACGTTCGCATGTCGGCCCTGCTCCATTTTTGCGCGCCCGTCACACGTTTCGTGGCCCCATATGGAGCGCCACTAAAGGCCCCAATGGCTGCGCCCGCATGCGTCCCCACCCCATTCCAGCACACCCTTTACACGTTTCGTGGCCCCACCAGGAGATCCTCCGAAGGCGATGCCCACAACGGCGATAATCACAACTGCAGATATGTCCGGGCCCTTCGCCAGGAAATACTTGCTTGAAGGTCCCCTAACGCAATCGCATTTTTCGCCCCCGTGGAGCGAGCACTACGTAGATCCCCCGGCCTCGGCCTGCCAGCCCCTTCCTGCACCCCCCCAAGTTCTACGATTCCTGCCGACTCACGGGTCGCACGCGAAGCGCGTTTTCTGTCATCCCTGGGGCGCGGCCCGCCCATCCCTTTGTTTGTACGTTCCCGAGTCATCCCCAGTTTATCGTGAAGGCCTTGCGACCGATGCAGCCGACCCAGAAGGCGGGACCTCCCTGAGCGATCCAGCGACCCGGCGATCGGGCGATCCAGGGTTCCGGCGATCCGGCGACTTGGCGACCGGGCGATCCGGCGATCCCGCGATCCAGCGGGGAGAAGAAAAAAAATGAGGAGGGGAAGCAACAGGAGGGGGGGCGGTCGATGATGTGGAAGTGCATGGGGATGTCGAGGCCGATGTTGAAGGGAGGGAGGGGGGGCTGAGCACCGGCGGGGCACTCTTGGACGGTCTTTGTGTTTTGTTTGAAGTTCGGGAGACCCCGGAACCTCCCAGGGACCCCTCCCCCCAGGACCCCCACGGGCCCCCCCCCCACCCACCCACCCCTGCGGGGAAGGGATCAAGGGAAGAGGCTTTCTTTCGAGTCAACTACGTGCGACATCGTGCGACCTTATTGAATTTTGTTCTAGCTGGCGCGCCCAGGGAGGAGCGTCCAGGGAAAGAGGGGGAACGGCGACGGCGACGATGACGACGAAGACGACGACGAACGGAAGAGCCCCTCCCACACGCCGACAGGGTCGGCGGATTGCTTTACAGTAGCAAGGGCGCCATAGAGTGCGAAGTTATTCGCCTTCGCGGTTCTGTTCCGATTCTTCCTGGGGGCAGCGCGAGAGCGCGTAGTTAGGCGCCCTTGAGTATTGTGTCTCCCCCACTTCCCCCCCCCCAGCCCGGCGCCACTTCCGTCAGACAAAGTGCCCTCCCCCCCTCCCTCGCTCCGTGCGGAGCTCAAGCGCACAAAACATACGGATCATCTATGATATCGGCTGCTGGGCGTCTATGCGGGTCTCGAGACGGCTCGAGATGGCCTCAAGACGGGCCAAGTTCGCCCCCGGACGGCTCTGAATGGCCACACGAAGGCCTCAGAGGCCCCCCAAATCGACCCAAGGCGGCCCCAAGAGGACCCTTCATGAGGCCTCCGAGAGGCCACAATTATCATACATGTGAAGGTGTTCGCACACGTTTAGCACTCTCGCCGTTTTGTCAAAGACAGCCCAAGAGGCTCCCAAGATCGCCCCAGTACGGCCTTCGTAGCAGCCATTTTTGCTCAAGCCATTTTGACTCAGGTCACGCGGCTGGGGAGCGCGGAGAGTTGGAGAGATGGGTTGCTACTCGTCATCTCCTCGGGGAGCCCTTGCTCGTCACAAGAGCTCAGATTGGCTTGAGCTGGAGCCACTCTGTGAGCACATGACGCTGATCGACGCGGCGTGGCTGCTCAGGTTTGCAAATGGCGAGGTGATGCCTGCGTGCAAGGGCGTCGTGCCGGCGTGGCAGCAATTGCCGCTCGAAGCCAAGGTGGACGTCACCAAGCTTCAGCAGGTAACTTTATACGAGAAGCTGCCCATTGGCGTCCTGTCCTACGGCTGGGCTTCGCGCGCACACCCAGACCCGACGGGCGAGCAGCTCCAACGGCTCGTGCCCATGCTGCGCGCAATCCTCGAGCAGGACTGCGGCCTCGATGGCGCGATTTTCGGTATCATATGGGACTTCATGTCACTGCCGCAGCGCGGCTACACAACAGGCTACGACCCGACGCACGACGACCGGACCGCGTACGAACTCGAGCGTTTCAAGGAGGGCCTCAAGGGGATCAATGTATGGTACGGTCACCCTTCAGTTACGACCCTGGTGTGCGACTGGCCGATGCCCGGAGGCGCCGAGAACGCGGCCCCGATCGAGAGGCGCGGCTGGTGCATCTTCGAGAAGGCACTGAGCAGCGTGTCCAAGAGAAGCAGCTGCCTCCTCACCCTGAGCAGGATGCCCGCCTCATACTGGGACCAGTCTCGTCCCCCAAAGCATACTCTCAGATACCTGACGCAAGCAGCGGGCGGACGGGAGCCGCCGCTCCCGCCCGACATGTTTGAAACACTGCTGCGCGACGGCATGGCGCGCGAGGCCACGGAGAAGGGCAGCGGGATTCGCTTCACCAACGGCAAGGATGCCACAGACATCTGCATCCCACAGTACCGCGAGGGCTTCCTGCGCCTCATGGGGCGCGCGGAGGCGCTCTCGTACGACGGCATCGGGATCGGCGACGCCGGGGTGGCGCAGCTGCTGAGCGCTTTGCGCTACGCTCATAGCGCGGGCGTGCCGTCGCTGGCGACGCAGCTCAACTTGAGAAGCAATCAAGCCATCACCGACGCGGCGCTGCCAGGTCTTGCGGCCACCTTGGAAGAGGGAGTGATGCCGAAGCTTGAGGTTTTGCTCATCGACGAGATCGGATTTGAACCGACCGAGGGCATGGCCAAGTTGGTCACTGATCTAAAGCGCTCGCGCCCAAGCCTGCGCGTGGATGTCTGTGATGAGCCCGCTGTTTGGTGAGGGAGCTTCACGCTAGCACTTGTCCAACAGAGGATTGAGTTTTAATTCAGCCCGGGAGCGCACACGCCACCTCCCGAGAGCTTTTTAGGTACGTTTCTATTTCGTTGCGGACTTTTAAGCGAGCGGAATTACGGTGGAGCGGAATAGTAATGCCTTGGACAAGAGACAGCATATTTTGAAATGTTGTTCAGACCTTACAGGTCTCGCGTTGACTGCGTTGATGCCTTCTTCTGCATGCATTGCTTAGGCAGGGCTGCGGACCCCAAGGACGCAATCTGAACTGGAATACTCCCCCTGAAACAAAAATAAATAATTGCCAGAGCGCAGTCTCCCCAGCCAGCTTTTTTAGAACGCATGGTGGTTTCCAATCGCGTGCGCCCGTCTACCCCGTGCAGGATAATATGGTGTTTATTCTCTTGCACAGCTGTGCTCTAGAGCTCGGACATCTTTATTTTCGTCGTGGCTCGTGGTGGTTCGTCCCCCTCGGGTCCTCCCCTGAGCCTGAGCCCCAGCTCCCCTGGGCCACCCCCCCTTGGGACCCCCCCTCCGTCTAGGCTTCCCAGGGCAGCCCCCCTGGGCCGCGGAACCCTTTATTTTCGTCGTGGCTCGTGGTGGTTCGTCCCCCTCGACCCCCCCCCTGAGCCTGAGCCCCAGCTCCCCTGAGCCACCCACCCTTGGGAGCCTTCCTCCGTCCAGGCTTTCCAGGGCAGCCCCCCTGGGCCGCGGAACCCTGTATTTTCGTCGTGGTTCGTGGTGGTTCGTCCCCCTCGAACCCCCCCCTGAGCCTGAGCCCCAGCTCCCCTGGGCCACCCCCCCCTTGGGAGCCTTCCTCCGCCTTGGCTTCCCAGGGCAGCCCCCCTGGGCCCGCGGAATCCTTGATTTGGTAATTAGTGGTTTGTCGTGGTTCGTCCCTCTGGGCCCCCCCTGGGCCGCGGACATCCTTAGTGTCGTCGTGGTTCGTGGTTCGTCGTGGTTCGTCCCCCTCGGCCCTCCCCTGAGCCTCATCCCCAGCTCCCCTGGGCCACCCCCCCTTGGGACCCCTTTCCGTCCAGGCTTCCCAGGGCAGCCCCCCTGGGGCCGCGGAACCCTTTATTTTCGTCGTGGCTCGTGGTGGTTCGTCCCCTCGGCCCCTCCCTGAGCCTGAGCCAGCTCCCCTGGCCACCCCACCCTTGGGAGCCTCCGTCCAGGCTTCGCAGGACAGCCCCCCTGGGCCGCGGAACCCTTTTATTTCGTCGTGGTTCGTGGTGGTTCGTCCCCCTCGACCCCCCCCTGAGCCTGAGCCCCAGCTCCCCTGGGCCACCCCCCCTTGAGAGCCTTCCTCCGTGCAGGCTTCCCAGGGCAGCCCCCCTGGGCCGCGGAATCCTTTATTTGGTAGTGGTTTATGGTGGTTCGTCCCTCCTTTGTGCAAGAGCCAGGGCACGCGTGCCACTTGTTTTATCGTTTCGCTCACTCCGCCAGCCCATGGCGGGCGAGAAGGAAGATAGGGGATCCGATAGGGGAGAAGGATGAGGAAGAAGAGGAGGAGGAGGAGGAGGAGGAGGAGGAGGAAGAGGAGGAGACCTCTCGACGGCTTCTTGGGGCACTGTGGGGACCAAATTGGGTCGCGGACAAGATGTCTCTTTGGAAGGCCCTTGGGCTGGGGTCTTTTGGGTGGCCTCTTGGCGGCATTTTTGGGACCTCCTGGGGCATCTTGATCGCCCTTGTGGGGCATCTTTTGGGCTTCCGAGGGCCTCTTGAGGGCTTGTTTGGGGCCTGCTGGCGGTCTCGGGGGGCAACTTTCGGGGAAGATTCGATATGTCTGTTCGGGGTTCCTCTCTTGGGGTCACGGGAGCATCCGGAACCCTCTGGGGAGGCCTCTTGGGCCGTCTTGGTGCTCTTGTGTGCCGTCTTGGGGATGTCCTGGGAGTCTCTTAGGCTGACTTGGTTGGGGCCATCTTGAAGGCCTCTGAGGCCGTCCTGGGCGGTCAGAAGTTTGAACAGGCGGTAACGCCAGAATCTTCCCCAAACCCGAACGACAGCAGTGAATGTTGCCTCGTCGGGCCCCCGTAGGGCGAATCACATGCAGGGGGGTCGTACCAGGCTGTCTGCCACACCGTTTGTACTGCGCCCACGTCTCGGGAGGTCCGCAGGCCCACGCCGCCAAACAGACATCGCGACGTCGGGTCTATGGCGAGGGCAAAAGGCGCGGCGCGCATGGCGTATGCCGAGGCACCGGAAAGGATGCAGGTGGCGGCGGGGAGGTGGGAGGCAGAGGCGCAGCAGGCGGGAGGCCGAGGGGAGGGAGGAGGATGCGGAGGCAGGCGGGAGGGGGGGGGAGGCGGGAGGAGAGATGAGCCCATGGGCTGGACCACGTTGCGCGCGGCTTCTCGGAGCTCAGAGTTGCGAGGATGTCTCAGGCGAAACGGGCCCGACCACCTCGCGCTCGGAGCTTAGAGTTGCGAGGATTTGACAGGCGGCGCCCAGGCTGCTCCCAGAGCACAACACGACAATATAACTGTAATCAATTGGTTCGTTTGGGTCCGACCCCTCCTCTCTCCTCCCCTCCTCCCTGTTGGAGCTCAGAGTTGCGAGGACGTCTCACGCGAAACGGACCGAACCACCTCGCGTGCGGCATCTGAGAACTCAGAGCTACGAGGATGACTCAAGCGAAGCGGGCCAGACCACCTCTGGCGCGGCATCTCGGAACTCAGAGTAGTGAGGATGTCACAGGCCCGCCGAGCGCGCGGCATCTCGGAGCTCAGAGTTTCGAAGATGTCTCGGGCGAAACAGGCCAGACCACCTCTTGGCGCGCCAGCTCGAGGCCGAGAGTTGCGAGGATGCCTCGAGCGATGCGGGCTGGAGCCTCTCGCGCGCGGCACCTCGGAGCCCAGAGCCGTGAGCATGTCTCGAGCCGAACGGGCCAGACCACTTCTCGCGCGGCACCCCGGAGCCCACCGTTGAGAAGAGGCTCCTGGACGCAGTTCGTGAAGCTGGTGCGCTCGGACCCCCGAGGGCAGGGGGCCCAGGGACCGATTCCAGCCGCCGTGTCCTCTGCTCGCCCTGCTCCGATGTTTGCGTCGTCGCTCGTCACGCCACGGGCACGCGCATGCCGTGGGGCCGCGACCACGCAGATTGATTGGCCGAAGTCGATGAAGCGACGTCATACAACGGGGTCGTCTTCGCCGACACTGGCGCGTAAGCCGCCCGCGTAAGCTCGCGCGTTATGCGCCCTCGCTTCCAGTGTGGCGTGTCGCGCTGGCGGCCCGCGCAGGCCGCCGCGTCAGGTCGCTGCGTCATCTCGCGCAAGACCCGTTTCTGATCGTCGCCCATTTGTTCACCGCCCAGCCTGGACCTCCCGAAGGAGGCGTGGCGCCGCAGCCGTGAGAACCTATTCACCTCGTCCAAGCACGCCGGCATTGTTCGACGACGCTTCGAGGCCACAGTAGTGACCCGCATGCGTATGGCAACCTCACGACCTCAACTGCCGGTCTGACCCGCCGCCTCCGTCGCCTTCTGTCGATGGGCCCCCGCGCCTCCCACCAACGGCTAGACATGAAGCCGACTGACCACCACTATGGATCCCCACCAGCGGCCATTTGACGTCGACTGACCAGCACCGTGTGCGTTTGGCTTGGCTAACGCAGCACTGGGCGGCATCGTTCCTCCTGCCCCTCCTGCGCTCCGATCCCGACCGCGCGCCAAAGTACCGCGCCGCAGGCCCGAGAGTCCACTCGCTCACCCTTCCAGGCCCGAGGCTCGCCCGCGTCCTCCCACAAAGATCGCTGGGGCCGCCCGCGCGCGGCCGGGGCCCGCGCGCGGCCGGGGCGCGCCGTCGCCAACCGCGCGCTTTTCGTTGTGCCGCACCGCAGACTCCAGCGTCCTCCTCCTCCTCCTCCTCCTCCTCCTCCTCCTCCGGAAGACGCAGCATCACGACGAAGACGGCGCGACGACAGAAGAAGACTCTCCTCCTCTCTTCCTCCTCTCTCCTACTCCTCACTCCTATCTTTTCCTCCTCCTCCTTCCTCCTCCTCCTCCTCCTGCTCCTCCTCCTCCTTCTCCTCCTCCCTCCTCCTCCTCCTCCCTCCTCCTCCTATCTTATTCCTTATTAGAATATACTCCTACTCCCCTCTCAGGCCGGCAGATAGGGGCCCCATTCGGGTGGTCCCATCCTAACCTGTAAAAAACAATACAACATCAACATTTTTCTTATTTTTTCCTCTCGACATGGACGTCCTGTCGTCCACGGCGATAATCCATTGCAAAAAAATTCCACAAAGAGCACACGCGCGCGTTCATGTCAGAATCCTACCGAACACCGTGTGTTTGCAAGCATTTCAACATAAAAACATCAAAAACCCAATGCTTTTTCACAATAATTGTACAAATTTCCCGCCCGGGCTCTCTTGCTGAAATCATAGGAAAACCATAGGAATCTTAAGAATTCTGTCAATTCCAGCGATTTCACGTCATCGCGCGGTGCACTCGCGATGCTCTGTCATGCACCCAGGCCGCGAATCCTGTGCAAAAAATACCACGCGGGCGACATGCGCGCGCGTCGCCGCGAGCGCATGCTCAAATCTTTCTAGAGTCGTCGCCGACATTGGCACCGTCGCATGGACGTCCTGTCGTCCACGTCGCAAAATGCATGGCAGGAATGGGACGCGGCGCACACCCCGCGCCCGCCCATCCAATCCGTCCCATTTTAATCTGCAAAAGACAATACACAGTTTTTGTTTTTCTTGTCAACATGGTCGTGCTGTCGTCACGTCGCAAAATGCGTGGCAGGAATGGGGCGCGGTGCGCACCCCGCGCGAAGGGGTGACATGTCGCTCTCGCCTCGGCGCCGCGCACCAACGTTTTTCCTCTCAGCATGGACGTCCTGTCGTCCACGTCGCAAAATGTTTGGCAGGAATGGGATGCGGCGCGCGCGGCGCACACCCCGCGCCCGCCCATCCAAACCCCCCCGCATTTAAAAAAAACAATACAATTTGGGGCCTTCTGGACGCCTCCTAATGCAATCC